AGTCATATCGTTGGCTCAAGCTTGAGTATGCTTGAGCCAACAATAGTAGAATACAACAGTTGATTCGGGACTCGTGTTGGAATGTTTGGAATACAATATTCTTATACGAGCAGTTATAGGAGAGGCCGAAAGAGGAACTTCATCGAAAGAGACAATCCTTGTGTGTTGGAAGTCCTCGCGCTATGGTCAGCCGAGACATGCCCATTTTGCTATGGTGAGAACAAGCGACCATACCAGACCTGTATAACCGTTTTGTGATATAATGACGAAAGGAGCAGTCTCAATGGAAAGTACATACTGCGAGAAAGTAGCCGACGTCGGTGAGAGCAATAACGGCGTTATGGTACGGCAACAGTTGACTTCGCTGGGTTACGGTATCGATAAAATGAAGAAAGTGGACAACAGGTGACACATGTCTGTATACATTTATTTATAATCATAGTATCGCTACGGACTTGGAAGTCTAGGGATGCGGGAAAACTGTGGCATACATCCGTCCAGCGGAGTTTCATTGTCAAAAACCAACAGAGCCCATACGAGAGCAATTCCTTGGGAAAAGTCTCAGCCAGGACCAGTTTGATGCATCATACATGATGTTGAACTCATATTAGTACTCCTAACATGAAATTTTGAAGACTGGGACAACCGAATCTGTTCATAGGTCAACCCAGAGGACTGTATGGGTGTGGCGACAGCTCCGACCAGATGCTCTCGCAGCTGCTGGCGGTCACCTGGCCAGAGGAGAAGGCACTGTATATGTTAACAAGCTTCAGAAAATGCCCGAGTTCGGGAATAAATGCTCTTTGGTCTCGGCGGTCCGAAAGGGCCTTAAAGAATTACGATCTATAGAGAACCAATGCAAGTGGTTACCCGAGACTTACATTCTGTTGAAGGTGACGGTCGCCAAGCATCAGTGGAGAGAATGAGAGTTCAGGAAATTAGAGCGGCTATTGCAGCCGTGAAGGAATCACGAGAAGAATCTTGCTGGATCGTGAAGCCGGCGTCGTTGAATAGGGGCATGGGAATAAAAGTATGATCATCATCATACTATCTCGACATTACCACTGGTGTGAAGCACGATACAATTGATTCACCTTAGACTCACCATGTGGAATAAGAAATTCTATAGTTGCTCTGTTACTCGATATAGTGGCTATATAATATGATGCCCTACGTCCTTGCCTGTGGAAATACTCAACACTTCAGATTCTCGACCGGAAAACCGCCTTAGAGTACTTAAAGGGCCTCGAAAAGGGACGGCCATCTAAGGCTGTCATTCAACGATACATTAGTGATCCTCTCCTTTTGGACGGGTGTAAATGCGACCTCAGAATGTTCCTCTTGATAACGCGAACGGAACCGTTGAAGGTGCTCATAGTATCCGCTTACTGTCCTAGTAATCATGGTAGGCGTATTTTGCTCGTGGATATGTACGGCGCACTCTGAGTGAATATTGTTCCGATATCACTAATCGCTGTGCACATCTAACGAACCAGGCAGTTCAGAAAAAGCTTGGAGATTATTATAAAACTAGGAAGCAGGAATCGACCTGGTGCGGACCATGCTGAAATCGCTAGCCAGAAAATGGTATCCTTCAGGAGTATCCAACGCTTGTGTGAATACTTAGCATCAACTTCGTCATCTGAGGGAGACGCCTCGTGGTGGCTTAACACATGGTACTGTCGTGTGCTCGAGCCCATCATTATGGAAATGGCAACAGTGACTTTAGAGGGAGCTCGTGGCTCTCTGAGCAGGCAAGGACATTCTCGATGGTCTCCTCTTTAGATGAGAGCTGATCAGTGTTGAGAAATATATGTTCGCTTTCCTCGGTTGAGCTTGAGAGTTTCCCCACTTATTAAAGAGGTTTCCATAGGATTTACGGTATAAGTATACAGATATGTCCCAAAACTTGTCGAAAGTCCCTCGGAATTTCCATATATACGTAGTTGAGCATGTGCGTATTTTCCACACAATAGTAGTAGGTCTACTAGACAGTGGAAAAACGGTACCATAATCGGCGGTGAGTTTTTCGGTTATGACGTCCTCCCTGGTGCTGACCTCAAGCCCTATCTCCTGGAGTTCAACTCAAACCCGGCCATAGTCACCAACACGGACGTTCTCAATGAGGTGCGGTATGGGAACCGCATCT